ATGATATGCTGATGTTTTGCATCGATGTTCATCATTGGCTCTTGTGTCTCTTTCGTAGCTAAGTAAGGGTGCAAGTTATCCTAGCTATTACCCACCTCCTTCATGTCTGTCTCTTCCTCCTCGATAAACAAACACCGACGTAAGCTGCGTCGTCGGTTGAGTCGCCGACATGAGAAGTATATCTTGCATCCTGTCACTCTGCCTGATGGCTCCATCAAGCTATTGCCCCTCCCGTCAGACAATCATTTGCCTGCGTGCGATCCTCTGATAACTACATCCCATGATGACATCCACTACTACGCCTCTTCTGACGCCCAGATTCTCAGACAACGTACTTCCATTTCTGTTGATTGCTCGAATCTTACTTCACCGCACGAGCACCTGCGCGCTGCTCAAGCTCTGTGTCATCCTCTCGATCTTACCGATCCTCTACCAGCTCCTCTCAAGCACGCCATTTCCTTTGTCTGCGCTAATCGACATCGCGTCCCACGTCTCCGCCGCTCTCAGTGCAAACAAATCCGCCGCCTTGCTCGTGCTCTCGAACCTACTCGACAACTGTGGTTAGCCGAAATGCATCCACAAATCCTCGGTTTCTGTTCTCACTTACATCTTCCACTCATGGCCGTCCTGTTACGTCGTGCCAACTATTGTGACTCGTCACTCGCACTGGAGTTGGTTTACGGTTTGGCAGTCCATGGCAATTTCCACACCCCAGGTAACATTTTCGCTGAGGGTGTCTCCCAGAAATGGACGTATACTGACCCCAACACTGTTTTACGTACGGGCTTTCTCAAGGACGACCTAACATACCAACGTTTGCAACGCGAGTCTCCGAGTACTGATGATGCCATTTTGTGGCAGGCGGCTATTGATGAGGTCGATAATCACACCATGGCTGACCCCATCGACGGCGACAGTTATGCGACTGGCTATTTGATTTCACGAAGATTTCCCGTACGCCAGGTCTCCAAAACGAGGCCATGTGACGATTATACTGCCTCGGGTCTGAACGACTGCCAATACTTCGATCGTCGTATGACTTTACCCACCATTGACTTGATTACACAGATGTACAACACTCTGTCTGATTCC